AGGGGCAGCAGCAGTTTTGGGGTGCACCCTGTGCCCTGTGGGGTGGGAAACAGCGGCAGAGGCTCCTCAGCCTGGCCTGGCCATGCTGGACGGCACCCAGGGGACACCCAGGGGGTCAGCGCTGACCTCGGGGCGCAGGGGGACACCACAGCCGTGGCACCGGGATCAGCTGGCGCTGGTGGCACCTGCGGGGGTGGCGGGGGCGCCTCAAGGGTGCGGGGTGACCCCGGAACCCRCTGTGAACCCTGCGGGGGAATTGAGGGGGAATTGAGGGGGTCAGGCTGAGAGGGGCCATCCTGCAAGGACAGCTCCCACAGTGTCATCTGTGGCCATGTCCCCACGGTCTGCCTGCTGTCCCCAAGTGCCACCCCAAATGTCCCCGCCATGGCACCCACCCTACAGGTGCTCCTCGGGGCTGCTGCTGCTCCTCAGGGTACTCAGGCCAGGGGTCAGGCGGCAAATCCTGCAGGGAATGGGTGGGATGGCACAGGGAGGGCTGGGACTGTCCCTTGTCACCGGGGCAGTGAGTGGCCCCTGCCCCGCCGGGTCCTGCAGGTGCCACCACCCCTCACCAGGTACCAGCACTCTTCAGGGCTGTCCTCAGATCCTTGGAAATCTTCTCTGTCATCCCAGGGGGGCCGTGGGGGGCCGTTGTGGGGTCCCCATGTCCTGTTCTCGATCTCCTCATGCCAAGGGACGTCACCGGGGCCAGGGAAGGGACYGGGCTGGAACGGGGAATCGCTGCCAGTGAGGATGGGGACACGYTGGGGACACTCACARAGCCACCCCACCCAGCCCAGYGTCCCCTCACCGGGTGCCAGYGCTCTCTGAAATCATCYTCAGGTCCTTGGAAATGTCTGTCACCCCATAGGAGTGGYGGGGGACGATCCTGAGGTCCCCATGTCCTGTCCTCCATCTCCTCATTCCAGGGGACATCACCGGGGCCAGGGAAGGGTCCGGGGGGTCTGGGATGGGGCTGGAACGGGGAATCGCTGCCCATGAGGATGGGGACACATTGGGGACAGTCACAAAGCCACCCCACCCTGCCCAAATCCCCCTCACCGGGTGCCAGCGCTCTCTGAAATCACCCTCAGGTCCCGGGATGGCTTCTCTGTGACCCCACGGGGGTGGCGGGGGACGATTGTGGGGTCCCCATGTCCCATCCTCCTCCATCTCCTCATTCCAGGGGCCGTCACCGGGGCCAGGGAAGGGTCTGGGGTCTCGGGGGCCGGGCTGGAACGGGAAATGGTCACTATGAGGTCACTGTGAGGTCCAGGCCATGGGATTTCCTCCTTTCCTGCCCTTTTCCCTCCCCGCTGCCTCCCCCAGCTCTTCCTGTGCTTTTCCCGCTCCCACAGCAGCCCCTGCCTTGGGCTGGGCTGGGTTTGGGGTCAATCCCTCCTTGCAATGAGCTCAGATTTCACCCAGCTGGGAAAAACCCCACAGTGGAGGGGGGATTGGGCTGCCAACGGTGCCAGGGAATGCTGAGAACATCCCAAAATAAAACCCCACGAGGATGTGAAACCCAGAACTCCCCRAGAGCGGGGCTGTGGGGGCAGACGTTTCCTGGGAGGAGCCGGTGAGTGACAATCACTTATTTTGGGATCAAAGCTCCCCCAAACCCCCCAAAAATCCATAATTTCATGCTGGAAAAGCCCCATCTTGCTTTCAAACAGCGGGATTTCCAGCACAGCCCTCCGTGGATTTTTTTCTGGAGCCCTTCAAGGTCACTGCTCAAGGCTGAGCCAAAGAGATTCGTGCGGGGTTGGGTGAGTAACACCAAACTCCAGATCTTAATTATTAATTTAATTTGAAATTATCAATTGCTGTGCAATGCTTTAGACACAAACTGCTGGCCAGCTCCACAGCTGGATCCAGATGTGTCCAGACCCTTTTGGGGAAGGGGTTTAGGGAGCCAAGGGGGTCCTTGTCTGGATCCAGTTGTGTCCAGACTTTTTGGGGAAGGGGTTTAGGGACCCAAGGGGGTCCTTGTCTGGATCCAGATGTGTCCAGACCCTTTTGGGGAAAGGGTTTAGGGACCCAAAGGGATTTTTTTCTGTGCCTGGGGGCTCTCTGGGAGGATGTCCCTGATAAACCCCAAAGCTCCCACTGCACCTGTGACCTGTCCCTGTCCCTCATCCCTGTGCCACATCCCGGTGCCATGTCCTCGTCCCCATCCCTGTGACCGTTCCTGTGCCACATCCCTGTGCCATGTCCCCGTCCCTGTGACCGTTCCTGTGCCCTGTCCCGGTGCCATCTCCCCCCCAGCCCCGTCCCTTACCGGGCACCATCTGTCCCCGTGCCTCCTGTGGTGCCGGGGTGGCCCATCCCAGGTGTCCTCGGGGCCACCAGGGGGACACGGCCCTGGCCCATCCCACCGCGGGCCGGGCTGTGGAGAGACCCGAGCAGTGAGACCCGGCAGCGATGGGAGCGCAGGAACTCACCGTGCTGCCCCAAACCCCAAATTATCCCAAATTTCACACCCAGCTCCGCTCGCAGCCCACGTACCTCGGGGGGGCCGCCCCTCCTGCAGCCCGGCGGGGGGAACATCCTGCCCGAACGCCGCGCTGGCCCCCGGCCCGGACCCGCCCGGGGCTCCCGGAGCTCCGGGATCCGCTGGAGGGAGAGGCTGGCTCAGCACGTCCCACAGGACGTCACTGCCGGCTTGGGGACACTGCCACCAGCCAGGTGCCACCCGTGCTGCTGCTGCCAGCCCCGCGTCACCTCCAGCGGTGCCAGCAGCGAGGGTGACCGGGCACGGCGACACACGGAGAGTGGGGGACACGGGACCTGGAGGGGTCTTGGCACCTCCTTTGTCTGCCCCAGGCTCTGCTCGTCGCCGCCACGGTTCATGGCCGGCCCGGGGGACACCTCGTGATGCCCCCAAGCGGTTCCGGTGTCACCCCCTGATGTCCCCAAGTGGTTCTGGTGTCACCTCGTGATCCCCAAGGGGTTCCAGTGTCACCCCGTGCTGTCCCCAAGGGGTTCCGGTGTCACCCAGGCTGTCCCCAATGGGTTCCGGTGTCACCCCGTGATGTCCTCAAAGGGTCCCGGTGTCACCCCCTGATGTCCCCAAGGGTTCCGGTGTCACCCCGTGCAGTCCCCAATGGGTTCCGGTGTCACCCCCTGATGTCCCCAAGTGGTTCTGGTGTCACCTCGTGATCCCCAAGGGGTTCCAGTGTCACCCCGTGCTGTCCCCAAGGGGTTCCGGTGTCACCCAGGCTGTCCCCAATGGGTTCCGGTGTCACCCCGTGATGTCCTCAAAGGGTCCCGGTGTCACCCCCTGATGTCCCCAAGGGTTCCGGTGTCACCCCGTGCAGTCCCCAATGGGTTCCGGTGTCACCCCCTGATGTCCCCAAGTGGTTCTGGTGTCACCTCGTGATCCCCAAGGGATCCCAGTGTCACCCCGTGCTGTCCCCAAAGGTTCCCGGTGTCACCCCGTGCTGTCCCCAAGGGGCTCTGGTGCCACCCCGTTCTGTCCCCAATGGGTTCCGGTGTCATCCGTGATGTCCTCAAGGGTTCCGGTGTCACCCCCTGATGTCCCCAAGTGGTTCTGGTGTCACCTCGTGATCCCCAAGGGGTCCCAGTGTCACCCCGTGCTGTCCCCAATGGGTTCCGGTGTCACCCCCCCCCCCCCGCCGGGCAGTTTCGGGGATCCCCTCCCCGCCGGGCTGTGGGGTGCGGACATTGGGGGATCTCTGACCCCAAACCGCCCCTTCCCGGGCCGGGACTGAGCTCCCCGGGCTGGCCGGAGCTCAGGGCAGCGAGGGCACCCGGTCCCGGTGCGCAGGGACCAGCCCGGGCCAGGCCAGGCCCAGGGTACAGAGAGGAAAATCCGCTTTTGTCCCCAAATCACGGGTTTTCCTGATGGGTCAGCCCCAGGATCGGCAGGGCACGGAGCGCGGAGGGGGGTGGGATGGAGAGCCCTGCATCCCGAACCCCAATCCTGCACCCCAAACCCCGATCCTGCACCCCAAACCCCAATCCTGCACCCCTGAACCCCAATGCTGCATTCCCGAATCCAAATCCTGCACCCCTGAACCCAAATCCCGTATCCCAGAACCCAAACCCTGCACTCCTGACCCCAATCCTGCACCCCTGACCCCAAATCCTGCATCCCCGAACCCAAATCTTGCAGCCCTGAGCCTCAACCCTGCGTCTCCTGCTTCCCTGAACCCAAACCCTTCACCCCGAACTCAAATCCTGCACCCCGAACCTAAATCCTGTGCCCCAAACCCGTAATTTTGCCACTACACCCCAGTCCTACACCTCAATCCCGCACCCCACACCTCAATCCGGCCCCAATCCGGTTCCTCACCCGTATCCGCCTGGAGCCGATCCCCTCCAGGGCAGTGCTCCTGGAACTTTCCCGATCCCTCCCGTCCCTCCTCCCGGCCCCGATTCCCTCCCGACTGCCCCGGGAGCGCGCAGGGCGCTTCCCCGATCCCCCGGGGACATCCCGACCCCTCCGGGAATCTCGGAGCCATCAGCGGGGTGGGACCGAAGAGCCGCGAACTGCGCCCCATCCGCGCCCGGAGCGCCGTGAGAGGCGGGACTGCACCCGCGGGACACGGGAATCCATGGAAAAGGGGATCAGAGACCCCCGGGACACGGAAATCCATGGGAAAGGGGATCCTGGGGGTCCTGGGGATGGAATATCCATGGAAAAGGGGATCCTGGGGGTCCTGGGCACAGGGAATCCATGGAAAAAGGGATCCTGGGGGTCCTGGGCACGGGGAATCCTTGGAAAAGGGGATCCTAGGGGTCCAGGGCACGGAGAATCCATGGAAAAGGGGATCCTAGGGGTCCAGGGCACGGAGAATCCATGGAAAAGGGGATCTGAGACCCCCGGGGCATGGAGAATCCATGGAAAAGGGGATCCTGAGGGTCCTGGGTATGGAATATCCATGCTAGGAGATCCTGGACCTCCAGGGTACAGAATATCCGTGCCAGAGGGGTCCCTGGGCATGGAGAATCAATGGAAAAGGGGATCCTGGATATGGAATACCCGTACCACGGGTGTCCCCGCTCCCCCAAGGCACGGACCCCGCGCCACCCCCTCCACCTCCAGCATCACCCGCACGGTCCCCGCGATGTTCCGGGGGCGCAGGACCCCCATTCCCGGCGCTGAAACGGGACCGAGGAGGGGACAGAGAAGGGTGAGAGGGTTCGGAGAGCCCCGGCAGGACCGGGCTCCATCACGGCACCCACCTTTACCGGCGCTGCCATGCCGGGGAGCAGCGGGGACGGCCCGGTGGCTGTCACCTCCCGGCGGATCCGTCACCTCCCGGCGGATCCGTCACCTCCGGGCACCGCCAGCCCCGGGGGAGCGGCTCCGAGCGTCTCCCAACCCCTGTGCCCACCCAATTCATCGCTCCCCGGGCTCTTCCAGCCGCTTCCCCCGCATTCCCCGCGGGAACGGCGCTCCCGGGGCTCGTTAGCAGCGGGGTGATGATTTCGGTTCAAAGCGGAGCCATCCCGCCTGGGTTTATCACCTTCCCCTGTCCCCGGGGACATCGGCGGCAAAGGTTCGGGGGAGTTTTGGGGTTGGCAGGGACGTTTTGATAACGAACTGGTTTGAAGTGGTTTGAACTGGTCCGTCCGGCCAGGAGAATTGCGGAGGTGTGGGCAGTGTGTGACCTCTGGGAAATGGGGGAGGAAGAGATAAGGGAGGAAAACAAGGGAGAGAAAAAAAGGGAGGAAAAAAAAGGAGAGAAAAAAAGAGGAAAAAAAGGAGAGAAAAAAAGGGAGGAAAAAAAAGGAGAGAAAAAAAAGGGAGAAAAAAAAAGGGAAAAAGGGAGAAAAAGGAGAGAAAAGGGAGAAAAAAAGGGAGAAAAGAAAAAGAGAGAAAGGGAGAAAAAGGAGAGAAAAGGGAGAAAAAGGGGAGAAAAGAAGGAGAAAAAAAAGGAGAGAAAAGGGAGAAAAAAGGAGAGAAAAGGGAGAATAAAGGGAGAAAAAAAAGGAGAAAAGGGAGAAAAAAGGGGACAGAAATGGGAGAAGAAAGGGAAAAGGGAGAAGAAAATGGAGAAAAGGGGGAAAAAAGGGAGAGAAAAGGGAGGAAAAAAGGGAGAAAAGGGAGG